TTGAATCATGACTTGGCTTTCCTTTCCCTTTAAAACTGAAAGTTGAGAAGCTTTGGACCTTCTTCACCAGAGGAGACAGAGATCATAGAATCTTAGATCTGGAGATCCAAGAGACCTTAGACGTAACCTCATCTAATCTCCTCATTTACAGATAGAGAAAATGAACCTCAAAGGGGTTTATTGACAGCACAGTCGGGATAGGAACCCTCTTATGGCTCAAAATCCGGAGCTCCTTCCAGTGCTCCATACTACCTCACATAAGATGAATGATGATCTCTTTTTTCCTTATTTGTCTTCCTTCTGCCTCCTTCTTATATTCGTGTTTCCCCTTTAATCATTTTAAAAGAAATAGTTACATTTGTTGAATTATATCAATCAACAAATAAATATATCATAAATTCAAATAATAGAGTCAATTGCATCAATAAATTAAATAAAAAACTTTTCTAATGTTTGTTTCTTCAGTTCTATGTACCATCAGCCCCCTCAAATATCTGTCCTTAAATTCCAGCACTAGATATGTATTCAACTGGGTTATTAAGCAGCTGCCACTCATTCCTGAATGCCCCATCAATACCTTAAAAGAATTTCTTATTTAGGCATTCTTTTCAAAAGCTCCTCTTGGGAGGGTGTGTCTATGTGTATATGCACACACATGTGTATGTATGTATACATGTATATGTGTATATGAGTGGATATTTATGTGTATGTGTCTATGTGCAGTGGTATTACTAATTATCTATTCAAACTTTAGGTAAATTGGTTTAACCAGATTGCTTTCCTTCTAGGCCTAGCCGAAGTCATCCTACAGCATAGTAGTTGCTTAAAATATTTACTTCATCAATTCCACTGGGATTGACTTTTCATAGAGTAGAATGGGCTGACCACTGGAAAACAATTTAGTTTGACTAGATTGCTTTGCTTTTGATATATGGTCACACAAGGAAAAGGAGTTTTAAGGTAGGTGGGTTGAGAACTGTGAGAGATCATTTTAAAGTAGGGGTTCTTAACCTAACTTTGGATCCACAGATTCCTTGTAGGGGTTTATGGACACATTTCTGGGGGCCTGTGAACTTGGATAGGAAAGTGTTTACATCTTTATTTTCACTAACCTATAGCAGAAATTTAATATTTCCTTCTATTATCACACACACACACACACACACACACAGAAGGATCCTTAGGCTTGACCAGACTGTCAGGGGTTTATGATAAAAAAAAAAAGGATTTGTGTTTTCAAGTATGGATTACTCTGTGAGGGCAGGGCTTGGTGACTTTTGGGTCATGGTGACACTAGGTGATGTAGCACTTAGAGAGCTAGACTTAGAGTCAGGAAGATCTGAGCTTGAGTCCTGCCTCAGATACATACTAGTTGTATGACCCTGGGCAAGTCATTTGACTTCTCTGCCTCTAGTTTCCTCTGTAAAATGAGTTTAATAATAGCACCTATCTCCCAGGATTGTTGTGAGAATAAAAGGAGATAATATGCATAAAGTGTTTTGTAAACCTCAAAGTGTTATACACATGCTATCATTGTTGTTTAGTCATTTTTCAGTTGTGCCTGACTCTTCATGACCTCATTTGGGGTTTTCTTAGCAAAAACACTGGTGTGGTTTGCCATTTCCTTCTCCAGCTCATTTTACAGATGAGGAAACTGAGGCAAACAGGGTTAAGTGACTTGCCCAGGGTGACACAGCTAATGAGTATCTGAGGTCAGATTTGAACTCAGGAAGACTTATTCAGATGGCCTGACACTCTATATACTAAGCCACCTAGCTGCCCCATATACATGTTAGGTATTATTATTATTATTAGCTATTATTAAGATTGTCACGGCTGACAGTGGGAGGCATAAACATCTTGGGAAGGGCATGGTTCAAAGGAACAAGCACTAGAGAGATAGAAGGAGGCTGAGGAATGGGCTAAGAGAGTATTAAAGCATAATTTCAAGGGGCCCATCATGTTGCTAATGACTGTCTCTAGCCATAGAAAGCAGTGTGGCCCATACCTGTGTAGACACCATCTATGGAATCTTAGGCCTATAACAAATAATATATAATAACTGTCAAGTAGTTAGTTCCTACATGGCACACTGATAGTCTGCAGGAGTTCTCTCTTAAAATTTTCTTTTAATATTTTAAATATAAAAACAAGACAAAATACACCTCTACCAAAACCTTCCTTGGATTCCCCATTATGACACAGAGGTGACTTTGGGATGTCATGCCACCAGAGTACAAACTCTGGCTGATCCTATTACCATGGGAAGGCTTCAAGTAGCTGCCCAGCAAAAGTCTATATGTTTGTCATCCTAGGACCATACAAGCTGAGCACTGAGAAGCTCATCACTTGATTGGCTCCTGGATGATGAATTTGGGGGCCTGGACAATCCCTAAAGCCCTTCTCCTATGACATTGAGGTGTTGTAATCTGTGGTGATGGACTGAATACCTGCACCAATGAAATCACAGCTCTCTGAAGTATTACTGTTAAGTTTTTAAAAATGACTCAAGTGATAGACTTTTTTTTCCCACCCTGATTTGAAGCCTTTCAAAGTAGGTCATATTTAGCACCTTTTCAAACACCTGGGCAACATCCTATCACCATAGTAACCTTCAAAAGCACAACCTTAGTGTTTCCAGAAACTCAATCCGAGTACAGAGGGTAACAAAAGCAGTGACTAGACCACAAGATACAGGAACAAACATTTATTGTAAAGATAACAATATCTGAGCCGCAGACTGAGTTTGATTATATATTTTCTGCAAGTTTCATGGCCTTAGTAAAAGCCAGTTCCCCAAACCTCATCACCTTATGTTTCCTGGGGGTATTTAGACTTTCCAAATATTGGCTCTGAATCTGGTTCTACAGCACACAAGTGAACCTGAGACCCATAAAAAGGGGATTAGCATGAGTTCTAAATCTCCACCTTTATTTTTTGTGTTATGTGCCTTTCCTTGAAGGAGTAGAAAAAGTCAAAAATATTTCTTCTTAATGGAAAGCGATTTGGATTGAGAGTCAGGCGGCCCCAGTTCAAATGCCCTTTTTGATGATTTCTAGCATAGTGACCATGGGTAAATCACTAAACCTTTTTGAGTATCAGGTTTTTTAATTACAAAAGGTATATAATAAAAACTCACTAGAAACAAGATAGTATAGTAAATAGAGGGCCTTCCTTAGCAAGAAGAAGATCTGGGTTCAAGTCTTGCCTCTGACTCATACTGTATAAGCCAATCATCTAACCCATGGGTGGGGAAACTGCGGCCTCAAGGCCACATGTGTCCTTCTAGGTCCTAGGGTACAGCCTTTTGACTGAGCCCAAGTTTTATAGAACAAATCCTTTTATTAAGGGAATTAGGTCAGATTCTAATCTCTTGGTGTCTTGGGTAACTCTCTGAGACTATAAGTTACAGCAATGCTGCATATGAGTATCAGCAGATGTTATTTCTGAGGAATATCCTATATTATCCTATGTTAAAGAATCATAGCTATGAAATAAAAATGCTTTTGCCGCTCATATCAGAAGTTGTTGTGAGGAATGTTTTGTAGTCCTTAAATTACCAAATGAATGTGAATTATTATCATTGCATTCACTTCCCTGGAATGGCCACCACTAGAAAGTATACCTACAAATATCTGTCTGTGCTTCAATCCTTCCTTAGTCCAACATTCAAGTTTCCCCACAATCCACAATCTGGCTTCAACTTGCCTTTCCAATCTTCTCTCCCATTACTCCCCACAATACCTGCTCCTAGAGACATTACTCACTATGGTTCAAAACACATTTTTGCTCCTACTTACCTCCACACTCTCTCCCTCCCTCTGTCCACAACATATATACTCTCCCATCTTTCCCAAAAGGTGTCCCTCATCTCTTGTCTCTCTAACCAAAGCCAACCCATTCTTCAGAATTCAAGGGCATCTGTTTCCTTCAGGAAGGCTATCCTGATCATTCCAGTCTATACTGATTTCCCCTCCAACAAAATCATAGTACTTAGTGTCTATACCATTCATAGGATTACACATTTAGAGCTGGAAGACATCTTGGTGATACACTAGCTCAACCTTTTATTTTCCAGATGAAGTCATTGAGACCCAAAGAGGTTAAGCAACTTACCTAAGATCACAAAGTAGTAACTGGGAGAGATAGGATTCAAACATTTAAAATCTTAGGATCATCAATTTAAAGGTAGAAGATCATTGGGTCTACTGCTCTTATTTTACAGATGAGGAAACTGAGATCCACAAAGGTTAAGCAATTTGACTGAAGTCACAAACTTGGTAAATACAGAGCTGTGATTCAAACACTCCAATTCATGGGATCAAATATTTAGATCTAGAAGAGCCCTTAGAGATCACTGAGTGTCCTGCTGTCTTTTATAGATGAGGAAAACTGAGACTCAGAGAAGTTACGTGACAGGCCCAAGAACATACAGCTAATAAGTGTTTAAGATGGGGTTCAAATCCAAGATCAACAGTCCATCCACTATTCAATGCTGTTCTTCCCATTCCAACACACTGGGCACTTATATACTCCCTAGGAATATCTGTTTGTGGTCTTCTGCTGTGATTTAATGCTCATATTAATTTTCATTATCTGTGTATTCTCTTGACACCACAATTAGACTATAAATTTGTTAATTATTGGGACCATGTCTCTCTATTCTCTATAGCATCTAACAGAGGGTTGGGGATATAATGAATACTCAATGATCAGATGTCCACAAGGAGAAATTTGACACATAATAGGGAAAGGACAGCATGAAACAACAACCACAAAAAGCCACTAGGAAACAACTACCACAAAACACACACCTGTTCTCCTACGGTGAGATTACCACATAGTCCTTTGCCACTACTCCAGACAGCCAGGAGCCAGGAGGAGACAAGATACAGCTTAAGAGAGACTAGAAGATGAAAGCAGAAAATGACAGGCACAGCTGGAGAGGAAGAGTAAGCACAGAGCCAGATACAAAGAAAGATGGCTGGAGGGTGTCTTACTTTGACCAGGTCCTTTGGCAGCGTCCCAGCATGCACCCCCCTCTCCAAATGGGCCTGTTTTTTTAATTTCCTTTTCCGCTGCTTCTCCAGCCACAAGTCATCAAAGCTGGCATAGTGGTTCCTAGACATCATTGTAGTCTTGTGGGATGTCTCCGAGAGGTTTCTGTCTTCAGTGAGGAAGGGGAAAGTCCAGGTGATGTTCTCAATGGTGGAGAATGGTCTTTGGGTGGACCCTGTGGGAGGGACCCTCTTACCAAAGTGGCAAACCAGCTTCTCACCTGGTCTTCCTTCAGACAGCGTGTTGTTTTGGAAGGTGGGGTCCTGTTTTGTAAGCATCAAGAGAGGACACATAAATTTGGGGCAGGTTTTACTTGTCCTTACCCTTTCCCATTCAGACGACAGCCTTGTGTTTTGGTTAAGACACCTAGCACATTTTGAAAATGCTGACATTCTTAGGCTGAGGCAGACAAATCAATTTTATTCCCAAAGCTAATTATTTAAGTAAGATTTGTCTTGATTAGAAGCATTACTACATCAAAGATACTGCTGAGCCAGACTCCTTGCTATAAATATAAAATGTAAAATTTTAAATTACGCAATCACAGAAATGATGAATTCTTAGAATCATAGAATGTTAGAACTAAAAACGATGTAAGAAATCCCCTAGTCTGATTTTTTTTATCTATAATGAAACCAAGATCGAGAAAGGTAAAACGATTTACCCAAATTCTATTTATTAGCACATATGTTATGCAAATACATTTTAATTTATTACTGGCCAGTAATCCAGATAAAAGCTCTTACTTGGAAATTTAGCTTCGGGAATAAGGTTAAAAATACATGTATAACTGATCTTTTTGTTATTCATTCTTTCCTTCTACAGTAGAAATTACCACATAGCTATTGAATGGCAAATTATCAAGCCAATTCATTTCAAATTTCCACTAAACATCTAGACTTTTGATCTACAAAACACCAAACATCCTAACATTGATTAAAAAAAAAAAGAACTGCCTAAATTGAGAGGCTCTTTGGGCATGTGTTAAAATAGACTTTGTCTGCATTTGAGAATCATCCTCTTGGCAGTTCACAGAAGCCAATTTTCTCAAAAGATTTGCTTTTGCCCTCTCCTCCCCTCCCAACCCACAATTTCATACTCAGAAACGCACTTTAGACAACAAGTGGCCCTTGTACTATGGCATCCAAGGGATCTCAAAGCAATTTATGCAGATTATCTAGGAGAAAGGATGAAACTGTTCTTTTAACTGTTTGCAGAAGACTGCTCTTTTTCAATTACAGGTAGAGAAGATGTTTGGTTAATTGCTATATGGTAAATTACTTTTTATAGGCCTTCACTTGGTAGATGAAAGGATAATTGCTTAATTGGAAGAAAAATATAACAGGAAAGAGACTCTAACCAAGTTTCACTCTATTATTCCAACTTCATACCTGGAGAAGGAGTGAGGCCCAGAAAGAACAAATGGCTTGCCCAGTGTCAATGTATTACATTATGGTACCAGTTAAGCAAGACACCACTTTCATCTACTGTTTAAGACCCTATAATAGCCACCTATTCCTATCATTAAGTCCTAGAGTCCAAGATAATGAGTTAGAAGGCACTTCAGAGATCATCTAATTCAGTCTGTAAGTTGCATTTACTTCCCTTCACCCTGGCATTTAAAGCCCTTCATAACTGTCCCCAACCTCCCTATCTAGCTTTATCTTCCACTAATTCCTTTGTTCAAGTCAAACTACTCTCCTACAAATATACTATCCTTGTTACCACATCTGTGCTTTTTCCTCATGTACTCTGCTTTCCAGACTCATCACTCACCTGAAATTTCTCTTTCCAAAGTAACCAACAATTGCCATATGTGACAGTCTTTTCTCAGTCTTCATCCTTTTTGACTTATCTTCTGCATTTAACAATGTTGACCACCCTCTCTTCATGAATACCCTCTTCTCTCTGGATTTTCATGATACTTTCCTACTGATTTTCCTCCTACCTGTTCTACTATTCTTTCTGCTTCTCCTTTAATGCTTCTCATTATCCATGTCATGTCCCCTAACTGTGGATTTTCCTCAAAGCTCTGCCCTGGGTCCTCTTCTCTTATAGATGATTCTCTGATCTGTATATCTAGTCCCAATCTCTTTTCTCAACTTCAGTCCTACATCACCAGGTGGACATTACCATCTGGATGTACTGGTGACATCCCAAACTCAATTTGTCCAAAACAGAACTCATTATTTTACGCTCAAATCTATCCCTTTTCTAATATTTTCTGTTTCTGCCAAAGACACCACAATTCTTCCAGTGTCTCAAATTTTTAACCTTGGTACCATCCTCAACTCTACTACATGAGACCTTTCCTGATCCCCCTAACTACTAGTGCCTTCCATCCCTGGAATACCTTGTGTTTACCTTGCATTTTTTGTATATACATATATAAACATATATACATACATATGTATAGATACATACACACATATATGTATAGATGTGTGTATACATACAGTGTCTCTCTCAACAGTCTAGAGAGTAGGGATTATTTCATTTTTTTGTCTTTGTATTTCCAATATCTAGCATAGTGCCTGACACATAGTTGTGGCTTAATAAATGCTTATTAACTGATTGGTTTATTTGCTCTGGTATGCAAACACCACCTCTACTCAACAACATAGTAGATATTAAATATTGATTGACTGAGGTGGCCACTATGCTTATTCAGAGAATCATGGCAAAGAATACAAACTTTCTTATTCTTTCACCAGACTACTACCATGGGGTTGCTAATTCTGGATATTTTCAAACAAGAGACCTACTCTTCCACTAACATCCTGCTGTAATGCCTCATTATAACACAGAGATGACATGAGCTTCTCAAAGGCTATGACAGCAGATACAAGCTCTGGTCAGACCTACCAAGCTGGGAAAGGTTCATGCAAAGGTTGGCAATGGATTGCTAGTTTGTCCAGCTTAATATGAAGAGATTCAGCATGACAGGGTTGGACCAACAAGGGATCATTTGGGGGGAAGGAGGAAAAGCAACTAAGAAAAACTGTCTATTGAATTATGTAGGGGTTTTTACCTACCTTAGTGACAGGAATGCTCAGGAAATCCCAGATCTTATAAAGTATTGATAAAAAGAAATTTTCTATTTCTACTTTAAAATAACAAAACTTACTGTCTTATAACAGTTCTATTAGGCAGTTCTGGGTTCTGGTGGTTCCATTAGTCACTACTGTCACTAGTAACATGCTTGGCAGTCACTGGATGCTTTTCCCACAATTTAGGCATTTCAATGGTAAAAATTCAGGCCTAAAAGAAAATAACTGATTTGGGAACTAGAAACTTAAATTTTCACTTGACGATGTGTCACTTCTACTGTGTGGCCCAGACAGAATGGTCATGCCTTCTTTTTCTCTATTGAGATTTTGGGGAAGACCTGATCATCTCTTTTCTCACCAGGATCTTGAGGGTCATTACTACATTACCTCTCTGATTGTCTTAGAAAAAAAATGTCTGATTCCTGAGGTCAATAAGTAGAAGGATGAGACACTTATAGTATAGTTGGATTATTCTAATGAATTTCATATATTCTGGGGCAAGCATGCTCTGGGTGCAAAGTAGGAAAAGATGGCGAAGGTGGTGCAACCAGATTGGCTTGTATTCATTTCTAGCCTAGATCCTATCTGCAAAAATGTTGAGCATTCAAAGAAATCAGACTAACTGCTTTAGCACAGGAAAACTCTATTTGACACAAGAGTAGGATATCAGTTCTTTCTCCTTGTAGAATTTGTTTTCAGTGCAAATTTCCCATCCTGGTTGCAAAATTAGAGCCTAAAAAATCAATTCTATTCCTACCTCAGGAAATGGAATGTCAAACACTATACAGTGTAGGAGAAATTCCTGTCTATTTTGGTGGAAAATATTACATTAGTCAATGAAGATAGGGGTAGGTCAAATCCTGTTGTAGTTGAAGTGTAGTTTTGTTATCAGATATTGTTCCAATTAATGCACAATTGCTCCTGTTGGAGATTTTTGTTGTAATGATGTTTGCTATAACAGAATTTTACTTCTGTCAAGGGTCAGGCTAAGAAAATCCCTAGTTGTATCTTTATGAGATAATCAAATTATTTTTAAAAAAAATTTTAAATAGATTCAATTTACAGTTTAAGTAAATTTAAATTATATTTGCTCACTTGTTTCCCTTTTCACCCCACAGTTTTTGTTTTCTCCCCTTCCCCCACTGGAAAAGAAGGGAGGGAGAAAAAGAGGAGGAAGGGAAGAGAAGGGAAAGGGGAAGGAGAAAAGGAAAGGGAAGGGAAATGGAAGGATAAAGAAGAGAAAGGGGAAGGAAGGTAAGGGAGGTAAAGGAAAGAAGGAAGAAAGGAAAGAAGGGAAGGAAAGAGGGAGGAAAGGAAGGGAGAAAAGAAAGAAAGAAGGGAAAGAGAGAGAAGGAGGGAGGGAAAGAGGGAGGAAAGGAGAGAGGGAGGGAAAAGGGAAGAAAGGGAAAGGGAGAAGGGGAAGAAAGAAGGAAAGAAGGAGAAAAATATTAGAAAACATGTCTAAATAGAAGTAGGTCTTCACACAACTGCCATTATTACTACAAAAATTATTTTAACATTACTGAAAGCTGCAACAATAGGAAAAGGAGCAAAACAATTATGAGTATTCAAAAAGGAATAAGAATCTTAACATCATGGTTTCAGAAAAACATGGCAAGATGTATATAAACTGATGCAAAGTAAAGTGAGCAGAACCAGGAGAACATTGTACACAGTAACATCAATATTGTAACAATGATCAACTATGAAAGACTTAGCTACTCTAATCAATATGCAATGATCCAAGACAATTCCAGAGGACTCACAGAAAGAAAAAAATCTATCTACATCCAGAGAGAGAACTGCTAAACTCTGAGTGTAGACTGAAGCACCCTTTTTTCACTTAAATGTCCTTGCTTTTTTTTGCAACATGGATAATATGGAAATGTGTTTTGCATGACTTCACATGTATAATTAAGATCATATTTGCTTGCCTTTTCAATGTGTAGGGGAAGAGTAGGAGAGAGAGAGAGAATTAGAAATTCAGAAAATTTTAGATGAATGTTAAAATAAAACATTTTTACATATCTAGGTAGTTTCATCATCCCTAGAATGTTTGACAATTATAAAACAAAAAACAAAATGAAGTTTAACTTTGCCCATGTTCACATTATGGAGAGGATCAGGCTCTCACTCCCACCCATACATAGTGGACCTCCAATCCCAAAAGAAGGCTGCTACAGTAGCCAGGTTCTTCTTCCTCTAGAATCAAA